CTGTGGCGGCGGTCCTACAAGAAGAAGAAAAAGAAGAAGAAGAAGAAGAAGAAGAAGAAGAAGAAGAAGAAGATGACGAGCGGAGCAGTTTCTTTTTTTTTTTTTCCCTTACCTGTCGTTTATCTCGCGACCTATCGCTAACGAATGTAAAAAAAAAGAAGAAAAAGAAGATAGTCGGAAGAGGAGGAGGAGGAGAGAAGAATAAGAATAAGAAGATGAGGGGGAGGACAACGACGCGAGATGAAGAAGAAGAAGAAGAAGAAGATGAGAGGGGGAGGAGGAGGAGGAGTGAAGAAGTCGTGGAAGAAGAAAAGCAGAAGAAGAAGAAAAAAGATGAGAGGGGGAGGAGGAGGAGGAGAGAAGAAGAAGCAGAAAAATGAGCGGAGGAGGAGGAGGAGGGAAGAAGAAGAAGAAGAAGAAGAAGAAGGAGAAGAAGAAGAAGAAGGAGAAGAAGAAGAAGAACAGACCGGCACTCCACGTCGACAGGTGGCAGGGGTTGTCGGCAGGCAGGAGCACCACGATCGACGACGCTGGCGACGGGCGACTTGACGACGACGGGTGAGTGAAGCTCCCAGGCGATGGCGATGAGGGGCAGCTACTTCGACGACGGGCGACTCGACGACGAACGCAGGCGGCTGGAGCAGGTATCGAGGCCCCGTTTGGACAACCAATGCAGGCCGCCCCAGCCAGTCGCTTGTTCAAACGGGGCCTCCGTTTTCCCTCCAAAAACGAACGACCCTCTGGCCGTCGATCATGGATGATCGACGGCCAGAGGGCCGTCCCAAATTGAAAAGAAAAAAAACAGGCCTCACGGGCCCGACGCGCAGTTTTCTCCGCGTGGTCGGACCCGGTAGGCCCTGGGGAGGCGAAATCTCGCCGATTCGGGGTCGGAAACCCCTCGCCAACAAGGTGTGCTGGGGGGGCCCGGCCCCCAACCGGACCGCCCGCCCGGCCAGGCCGCCCGAGACCTCCCCCGGGCAGGCGCCGGTCGGCCGGGCGGCCCGGATCCGTACGCAGATGGAAAGTCGAAAACTCAAAAATTATTGTCGAAGTTCCAACTAGAAGACAACCGGCAACAAGCCGGAAGGCCACAATGTTGGGGAGAAAGAGAAAGAGGATGAAGAAGAGGAAGCTGACAACATGTCACAAGGATCAACTGAGAAAAGAACACAGTTGCAGAGGGAACAGGAAACGGCTGATACACCAGATGAGGACGACCTCAAAGATACACTCAGTTGGCTGAGCAATTACGTCCAATTGCTGGAAAGAGAAAGAGAAATCGAGTTTGAAATCAGAGTGGCTCACAAAAAGCACATCTGTAACCTGCAAAATTTCAACCCAACGCAGCAATCCCTGTCCAGCCTGTTCCCTACACACAATCACTTCGAAGTGCTGGAGAAAGAACAGGAGCTATCAGAATTTTTCGCAGAACGTTGCGGCTGCAAACTCGAAGATGCAACCAACAAGAAGGACACTACCCTGAACAGATTCAACTGGCCAAAGTCCTACACCAATTCAGACAGTCAAAGGAAAAGCAAAAGACTCAAAAGAGGAAAAGGGAAAGCACAAGAGGACCCAACCACAAGCGACCAAGAAACGAAAGAAGGAGAGAAGAAAGAAGAGATCCAAGTGGACACAAGGGAAGAACTTGGCAGACAAGAAATCCTGGAGGCACAGATCACAACGCTCAAGGACCAGAACAGAGAGACAGCGGATGTCGCAGTCAATCTGCAAAAGCTGGCCAATGGTCAGAACGCAGAAACCTTCACAGCAGCCAGGCTAGAGGCGAAAGAGGGTACTACCAAAAGAGTAGTAATTCCCTACCGCTGGAACACTCAACACCAGGACTGGGAAGTAGCAGTCAACAAGTCCTGGGCCCTCATTGCTCTGGCCAAACTGTCCGAAAAAGTGCTGGCAGCCAACATCTCGGAGAACATGCCTCTCAACGCCCACATCTTGGGTCCCAAAGAGGAATGGAGAAAGGAATGGATCAGCCCCTCGGGTGACATCATGGTTAGCGACCTCAGACCGTACATGGTTCGTTTCTCAATGGAGGCAGAGATCAAAGAACACCTCACGTGGAAGCCGTGGAAAGTGGTAGAAGCAATCCCTTACGGACTCCTGGGAGGGAATATTACAGCAGAAAGAGCGGCAGTGGCTGCCTCGATAGTGGAAGCTCATGCCCTCTTTGGGGACAACGAGACCCATCTGGGGGTAGTTCTGGAGGCAGCGGCTCGGTCGATCAAACTGGTCTACCCCAAGACCCATGGAAGCATCCCCACCTAATTTAAGAACCCTAGTAAAGGACCGGGTAGTTCCACCCACAACGTTCCATGGCAACACCCAACCTAGCTACACAGGTACTAAGACCAGGCTCCATTAGACATTTCCCTCAAGCATAGAGAGCCTGAATTATCGGTGATGTCATGGAATGTTAACGGTTTAGCAACAGTCATATCCAACACCGAAAAGTGGGACAACATGACCAATTACCTCAGCTAGTACTCAAGGAACCCACCCGGCATTGTATGCTTGCAAGAGACACACCTAACAAACTCATCAGAACACCAAGCAACCATCAATAAAATAATCACAAGATTAAGGTACGTCAAAATAAGCCAATGGGCAAACGCACCAATAATAGGTTCATCAGGCACAGTTATTATATGGCATTAAAACTTGAGAGCAGCGAATCGAATCAACATCGCAGACTGCGAAAAAGACACAGGTAACAAACGATGGATCGAAGTAATATTCTCATATAAGGAGTTCTTTCAACTAATAAATGCATATGCACCCAATGACCCATCCCAAAGAAGGACTTTCGTGCACCAAATCTCAACAAGATGTGACATCCAAAAACACACGATACTTGTAGGAGACTGGAACACCACACTGGACCCAGCTAACGACAGGACCTCAGCCGCATGATCAAACAGAGAGGAAACACAATTATTAGAAGCCCAAGAGATGAAGGAACTCATGCTGGAAAGAAACCTATTAGAACCATACACCCTTCAAAAAAAGACATACATTCAGGAAAAGAACAGATCCCAACCCATAACCAGCTCGGCCATCGACTACTTCCTGATATCAGAATCTCTCAGGGGAACACTACATGAAGTAGGTATAGGAAAACTTCCCTACAACAATGGTCTAGACCACAACCCAATTTTCCTTAATCTACTATTTGATCCAGGAATACAAAAAGGTCAAAGCGTTTTCAAAATAAACAATTTCATCCTCGGCACAACGACAATGAGAGAAGCAATAGCGCACACCTGCATAAATGCAGAAGAAGAAGGATTAGACTTTTCCAACCTAGTAGCTAACCTATCCAAAGCGGCCTCCACAGCCTCCAAGATCCTAGCAGCTAGAAGAAACCACCCCATAAAAGAACTCGAGGCAGCAATCAGAGTGGCAGAAATCCATCTCATAAGCAACCCTGGACAAGTAATCTACGAAATCTATTTTCCAAAGCAACTTCAGAATTAAGCATGTCGTAATCCTTGATGCTCACCAAATGATGATGATCTAATTAGGTTTTTCGAATTTTGTCTTCTCTATTCTGAATTCTCATTTGATTGTTTTAGGTGTATTACTCGTTTGTCTTCTCTATGTTGTAATTCTTGATATTTTTTTCTAATGATGACGATCTGATTTAGTGTTTTCTTTCGGTGGTTCCATCTGATAATATGGTTTATTGAAAATAATTTCTTAAACCATTTCGTGCCATACATCTTTGCTAAACGTTTCTCAAACTGCAGTTTGGGAATCTGATTCGAAAATCCTTTATGGGTATCTAAACCTATCTCTCTCTTTTTTTTTTTTTTTTTTTTTTTTTTGAGAGAAAGCCCTCATCTCGTCAGTGTTAGGGGTGCTGATACGAGCAGACACCGCTAGCACCRGAGGAGGGGCTCCWTCTATTGGTGGGGAGCGKCACCTGCTGGARAACGGGTCCAGCGTCCCTTATACTGAGTGGCTGAACAAATTCCATCAGATCATAGTTTGAGAGGGTTCCTACCAGCATTAATTACCCTGGACTCCAGGGGATTAACTGCGTAGGATGTGGGATAGGGAACCTCTTCACCCTGCTGGGGTGCCAGATACCTCAGTACTTCCTAGTTCCTCCCACTACCAACACTGATGGCCCTGGACTCTGGATACCAGCTGTTACACCCAGTTCCTGCCTTTCTAGGTTGCCCTTGTCCCCAATCGTTGGTACGCTGAGTTCGCTGTGTCTTTCTGCAATCCTCTGCCTTGGTCCTTCTGGCCTTGGTGTTTTCCTCTGCCCCACTGTTTGAAGGTGCCTCTGCGGTGCCGCCTCTTCAGTCAGTCTCCGACTGCCAGATCCTACCTGTTCCCCTAGCAGCTCCGCTCACTCTACCGCATACCATTGCATATCAACCATTGCCGGCTGGTGGGGCGGGAAACCTATATCTCATATAATTTCTCTTGAATTTTGCCATCATTGATCTTATCTATGGTCTGGATTGTTTCTTGATTTCTGATACAAATTCGTTTCTGATCTCCGATGCCTAAAAGTAGGCTTCTGAAATATTTTTCAAAAAAAAAAAACTATGTTTGCTAATTTCAATACCGTGCGGTAAATTTTGATGCGGATTGGCTTTCTCTGTTTGCTAATCTCAACCTCCTGGTCTTGAGTGGTATAATTGTGGCTTGCTCTGTATATCTGTGGGGTCTTCCTTGAGGGCTGGAGCCTCCCCCCGTGAGGGTTTCACAAGGTGGGAGGTGTTATTCTCGGCGGGGAGAGGCGGTATTGGGGGATTGTCGTCTCTTAGCTAGACTGATTTAGGGTCGGATCAGTCCTGGCGGGTGGGGAGAGATGGCAAGGGGGTGGCTGCTTATAGCAGTGTGTTAGGTTTTTGTTTTTTGAGGGAAGGAATGACTTCGATGGCTATACAGTGAGCCGAAGGGGGGGAAAGCTAGAATTGAAGGAAGGTGGCAGAAAGGGGTTTTTCAACAGAAAAAGGTTGTTTGTCAGGGTAAGTAGGTTAGAAGGACGATGTTGGGACGACACAGGCCGGTGCTGGAACCTCTGCTCTGTAACCCAGGGGGAGCTTCAGGCCTGAAGTTATGCCGAGGGTGGAAGGCATAACCAGCTCGTCCAACGTAGTTGGCGTTGGGGTATTGACCCTGTAACCTGCTTAGGGGCTTGCCGCTAAAGGAATTGCCGAGGGAGGAAGGCACTTCCTGTCCGTCAGAGCTAGGTTGATCGGTATTGGGGAGGGTTGTGGTGCCCTGTTACCGTAGCAGAAGGGGGTATGAGATCAAGTGAGTTCTGGTACGAGGACTGAAAGCCGGGATTGACGCCCCATCTGTTGGAAGGGGGAATCTAGGATAGAAGGCAGTTTTAGTCTCGCCCCCCCCGCTCTTATATTTTTCTAAAGTTCTTCAAATGTTCTAAAAAGAGTTGGGTGCTTAGTGGTCCTAGGAATGTTTTTTAGGACTCTGGGATCCCTACTAACTTCTTAGGTGGCTTCAATGCTGTTATACTCTGTGATCTGCGGCTGTTCGATGCCAGAACGACGCTGACCGGTGTTGGGGTGTTGCCCTGTAACCTGCGATGCAGGAGCGTGAGGTCTGGTAGAGAGATCTGGGAATGTCTTGGGGTGGGCTTCCCACGGAACAACCAAGGGTTGCTGCCGGGACGACGCTGGTCGGAGCTGGGGTGAGTTGCGTTGCCCTGTAACCCAGCAAAAAGTGGGGGTGTGAGACCTAGAAGAGATCAGCAGGGAGTAGGACAGTTTTGGAGACGTTGGAAGGGTTTGTGTGGGATTGCGAGGTTTTTGGAACAATTGTAGGACCTCGGTGGCGTATTCTCATGTTTCTTGAATGACGGTAAGAGTTCTTAGGTACCTCAAAAAGAGAATAAGGGGAGTGGGAGAAGATGGTGGGTTGTCACGCGTCCTACCAGTGAAGGGGCTAGCTGGTAGGATGGGAGTATGGCATAGCAGCAGCAGAGATGGTGGCTCCGCTGCAGTCAGTCTTGCCGGAGTGAGGTAAAGTGGATTGATGGGGGGGTTTCTGAGTTGTTCTGAATTTTGCTTAATCATGAAGTTGTCGTAGACATGTCTGAAATAGCTCCAATTTCTCCGAGCCAATGCCGGGTAATGGCCCCGGTATCTCATTTTTCAAAACTCCATCCTTAGGCCAATTAGATTTTTCTAGTAGTTCCTTTTTTTTTTTTTTTTTTTTTTGAGAGAAAGCCCTCATCTCGTCAGTGTTAGGGGTGCTGATACGAGCAGACACCGCTAGCACCGGAGGAGGGGCTCCATCTATTGGTGGGGAGCGTCACCTGCTGGAAAACGGGTCCAGCGTCCCTTATACTGAGTGGTTGAACGAATTCCATCAGATCATAGTTTGAGAGGGTTCCTACCAGCATTGATTACCCGGGACTCCAGGGGATTAACTGCGTAGGATGTGGAATAGGGAAACTCTTCACCCTGCTTGGTTCCTTGTCTCATTTTCATGAAATTTTCTGATGAGCTTTCTGAACGAACTCGTTATGGGACGCTGGGCCCGGTTCCCAGTTTGTGCCAATTTGTGAGGATATGGTTGTATATATGGAACGTTGGACCCGGTTTCCAACAGGTGCTGCTCCCCACCAATAGATGGAGCTTGGTTTTTCAAAAAAAAAAAAAAAGGAATGCATGAAAAGCAAAAGGATTGAGACTAAGGGCAGGGATCAAGGAATGGGAAGAGTAGGCAAAAATGACCGAATTCTTCTTCCAGAAAGTCAAAGCCAGAGGAAGAAATGCTACCATTCACCAGCAAAGAGGAGAAGAGGGTCTCACAACAGATCCACAGAGAATGCTCTCAATAGCAGAATCCTTTTACAGAAACCTCTATACCTCAAAGACAAAGCAACCCATGCCAAACTCAATCCAACAGGTAAGGAAAAATTCACCAAATACCTAGATAAAACAATACCCTCTACACTAGCAGACCAAATGGAAGAACCAGTCACAAATAAAAAAGTAAAGGAGGCGACAACTCCATGAAATCAGGGAAAACACCCGGTCAGGATGGACTATCCAAAGAATTTTGGCAAAAGTACTGGGAGATATCAGAGATGACTACTGCAACTTTGTAAGATCGACCCGGTCAGCACAGGAATACTTACGCTTTTGTATAAGAAAGGTGATCCCGCAGACATTAAGAATTACAGACCCATCACCCTCCTAATAGTGGGTTATAAGATCCTAGCAAAACTTCTCGCCAATAGAATAAAGAAAATCACCAAAATATGCTTTCACATAGACCAAACAGGCTTTATACCAAGGAGATTTATCCAAGACAATGTAATGACACTCGCCGAATCAATAAGATACATTAAGGACAAGAAGATGAATGCAGCAATCCTCTTCTTCAACTTCGAAAAGGCATACGACCAAGTAAATTGGGATTTTCTTCAACAATGTATGGAAAAGATGGGAGTTGGCCCGAACTTCAAAAAATGGGTAAAAGTTCTGTACAACGACGCACATGGTGCGGTCCAAGTAAATGGGCACATCTCGAAGTCCTACAAAATGTCTAGGTCGGTGAGCCAAGGAGATCCCCTGGCGGCCCCAATATT